TTTTTTTTTTTTTCCGTTTTTCATAATATATTTCAATATTTCTTAGGTCACATTCTGATAACCTTGAGCTTCGACACACGAACGAAGCCTTCTCCTTGCACCATCATCAGGCTCTCGTTGGCTTTGCTTGGACATTTCTGAAGGAAGTAAGTCTAACCAGAACTGCTCCGTTTCTCAGGGAATGCATTTTGGTTGAAAGAGCTAATTCTGGAAGAAAAAGCTAATTCTGGTAGAAAGAGCTAAATTTGGAAGACGTATGAGCTTTATCGCCTTGGTTACCGTTCCGTGCCACCGCGCGATGTGATTGGCTGTGGCATGTCGTCAAGTCCATAACGTAACCGTGCACTGGTTTATTATTTCATGTCTAATTTTTTTTAAATTTATTTTCATTCCTTTTTTAAATCATCCTTTTATTTTCTTCATACAGACACAGCCTGAGGACGTCGCGCTCAATCCGAGTCTTATCAAGGTTTGTTCACTTAGAGAACATTAAACAATGTGGGACTGGCTCTTTGTTTATCAAACGTTGCGCGAAGCTAAACATATGACTTATGATTTTTTATTTACTTTTACTTAGACCCATTGCAGTACGTCGGAATGTATCTCAATTTGAAGAATATGACAATAGGTTTCCTATTCTCATGAGATTTAAATTCTTTTGTTTTGTTCCCCAAATTTAGCTGCTTTGACGTCACATGCAAGGTTAAAGGGATCTATAAGTAACTTATATACGCAGCTCACACTAGTTTTTAGCTAGTTATATCTTTATAAGTAACTTAGTGCATCTGAACATTGTACAAGTTTATTTGTGTACATTTATAAATGTACTTTTATTTTTTTCACTATTATTATTGGAGACTCAATGGTTGGTGTATTTGAATTGTGGTGGTTCTGCGTGTAACCCGTGATTGTAATGGTGGGGTGTGGGTACTTGGTGTATGGGTATTTGGTGTGTGTGTACTTGGTGTGTGGGTATTTGGTGTGCGCGTACTTGGTGTGTGGGTATTTGGTGTGTGTGTACTTGGTGTGTGGGTNGTGTGTGTGTACTTGGTGTGTGGGTATTTGGTGTGCGCGTACTTGGTGTGTGGGTATTTGGTGTGTGTGTACTTGGTGTGTGGGTATTTGGTGTGTGTGCATTTGGTGTGTGGGTATTTGGTGTGCGCGTACTTGGTGTGTGGGTATTTGATGTGTTTAAGTGGTGATGCAGGGCCAGTAAATGGTGTCCCAATACTCCGTTTTACAGTTCCATTCAGTGACCATGAATCCTAGTTCCAAGTCGAGGTTGGAATTTCGCGCGCATGGCAAAACTATACTTTATATCATGCGCGGAAACTCCAGCAACCTCGACTTGGAACTATTAGTATTCGTGGTCACTGAACAGAACTGTAAAATGGAGTATGTTCTAAAGCCTCACAAATTGTTTTATTTTATTTTATTTTATATTTTTTTCAGGATCGAGTAAGAAAAGCTTATTTGAAATTTCTACAACAGCTTGGAATTCTGGGAGTCGTAAGGTTTTTAGAAACATTCATTCGTCAAAAGTCATAAAGATAAATACATTTTTGTAATCTTGAACTTTGAATATGTCATGAATCGCCAAGACTTTTAGCAGTTTAATTTTAAAAACTTTAAATTAAAAATAAATGAAAAATAAGAGAGAAAAAAACTTATATCTAACTTTAACATAAGCCATGTTCCATAAACCATTGCTGTTTGGTATGTTGAGTAAGATCTCTTGGTTCAGCTCAACTCATTGATTCTTTTTATCTTGAGTAAAACCTCCATGTTCAGCTCAACCCACTGATCGATATTCAATTCTTTCTTGACTCGTTGTCTTAGCTTTATCATTCTCGTTTGGCGTTCTTGTTTTGGCATGGTTAAGGCACGATGCAGAGTGTCAGCCATCTGTTCCACATTCTTAGGGTCCACCTGTTGAACCAATCAACATGCTTGTTAAGGTTAACTGTTAGATTAATCAACATGCTTGTTATAAGGTTAACTGTTGGACCAATCAACATGCTTGCTAGGGTTAACTGTTGGACCAATTAACATGCTTGTTATAAGGTTAACTGTTAGACCAATCAACATGCTTGCTAGGGTTAACTGTTGGACCAATTAACATGCTTGTTATAAGGTTAACTGTTAGACCAATCAACATGCTTGTTAAGGTTAACTGTTAGACCAATCAACATGCTTGTTAAGGTTAACTGTTAGACCAATCAACATGCTTGTTATAAGGTTAACTGTTGGACCAATTAACATGCTTATTAAGGTTAACTGTCGACCAATCAACATGCTTGTTAAGGTCTACTGTCTGACCAATCAACATGCTTGTTAAGGTTAACTGTTGGACCAATCAACATGCTTGTTATAAGGTAATAAGGCTATATACCAAAGTGGATTTCGTAAGAGTTTAAAACCGCATGACAAATGGCACGGTAACGGAACCGAATCCTTTAAACCAATCATAGCGCGCGTCATCACTGCTTATCAAATAAAAATGCGTCTCGGTCGCGACACGGCAAGGCACGCTCCGTACCATAAATCATACTAAATTTTCTTCATCAAGATTGCATTTGAATATGTAATCAATTGCAATAAAAGTCCGAACTGAGGACAGTGAAGTGCGCACAGTTGTCAAGGAACGTTACCTTCAATGCTTCGTGCATAAATTCTGCAGAACCAGCATAATTCGACAAGACAAGAACTCCTGGATCAGATGTTTGAGAAGCAACATACTCAAGTGAGACCAGATTCAAGGCATCTCGATACGGAGTTACTAACCCAACGTGCGCTCTCTTGTAATACACTGGAAGGTCGTGATGAGGGACATTTTCCAAGACGACATTGATTTTGGAAGAAAACCCTTTCTTCTGCAACGCTGCGTTTGTTCGTGAAACAAGCTTTTCGTATTCTTCCTTGAGGTGTTTAAACCCCGGTTGACCTTCCCGAACCGGCACAGCTACCTGCAAATACTGTACTTTCCCGTCGTGTTCAGGGTGTTTCTCTAGGAGCCTCTGGAAAGCTTTGACTCTGTTCCCGAGTCCTTTAGCATAATCAAGACGGTCTACTCCAATGATGATCTTATGATCTGCATTGTCGTTGTAGAGGTCTTCAATGACGTCGTGGCAATCCTAAGAATAGAACGATAATCGTCTAAATACACAGGCAACCCAAAGCATGTCTACAATGTTAATATGAATATTTGCGTTACCTCTGGAAATTCTTTGCAGGAGAGATTTGCGTACAAGTCGTATTTTATTCCTACGGGGATAGCATGTAATGTCACTTTACGTCCGTTATAATGCACTTCCAACGATTCATAGTTCACTTGACAGCCCAAAATCATCTCACAACACTCGATAAAATTCGTGCAGAATTCTTTAATGTGAAAACAGATGACGTCGCTACCTGTTTTAAAAAAAGTGTGATATATAGGTCATGGGATTTGTCAGCATCTAGCATGATATATGTTGCTAATATTTACCGCATCGGTTCGCTGGTCAAACACAAAGCATTCAACCGAGGCTACGAGTTTCAAATTTGAGTAATCCTTGTGAAACTACTCCTGTCACAGGCAGCCCAAACAAGATTCCTGTGTATTGTTTATAAGGGAATGTATGGGAGAGAAGAGCGGATTTAGAAAAAAAACACTAAACGGCCTCGAATCGCGCTGAAACCTTGCCGGAAGACTGAACAAAGTAAAGGCAACGACTGCAGCAAGTTTTGAGGCAAATTGTTGAGTGAAACATTTTATTGTCATGACTTTATCATAACTCCCATGCATTCCCTTGTAAACTATACACAGGAACCTTGTTTGGGCTGCCTGTGCTCCTGTCTCTCTGTGAATACATCCTCACTTACCAAGAATTCCTTCAAGAACCTCTTTGTAGTGTTTCAGTTTCTGCAGCATCTTCATTGGTGGAAAAGGGATATGTATGAACGTACCAATGGGGCAATATAACTCTTTCTTTACCAACATCTGCATTGAAAAAAACATGAAATAACCAAAATACATGGGCAAATAACATCGCGGATTCGGTCAGCCAATCCAAGGTGATTTTAAAGAAGTGATTCAAACTGTAAAATACCTGTCTTACAAGCTTTGGAGCAAGCCAGAATCGAAAATCCTGTATCCATACTATCGATTGATGTTCCTCTTCGACAGCCTCAAGCACCGCTTCTGAGAATCTTTTGTTCACCTCTTTAGAAGCCTTATGATAAAAACACAAACATCATATCATTTCCTTTCGCACCAGAGATTAAAGACGTATCTCAATTTTTCCCAACAAGAACGTGGTATCAACTATCGGTCAAGTTGACACAGTTCTAATATGGCGTCTATTTCGTCCCCTAAATCCCACAATGCACTGCAATTCCAACTCGACCCAGTTTTTTTCGAAATAGCTATATTAGCGAAAGCTGCGTTTGCAGGCAAGAAAAAGGGTCGTTTAGGGACTAACCTTCCAGGCTTCATCTTCATTCGGAAGATGCTCGATTTTTTCGTCCATTTGAACGTAGACTGGCCAAAATTGAGCATTTTTTAAGTTGTTGGAAAGTAACCCAGTTCTGATTGGAACACGAACCAACTGGACCTGGAAGTAGTAAGATGAATACTAGATGAATTAAAATGAAAACTAAAAGACGAATGTGGGATCCTATTCGGAAAACATACTCCAGTTGTAACGTCAAGATACCAGCAAAGAGAGGTATAGACCCCTCGTACAAATTTTGTATTTGTGAGTAGAAAACAAAAGAGAATTTCCTTCTCTTGAGAATTGAAATCGCTTTTGGTGGAACCATTTTTTATTGTAGAGACAGAGTGAGAGGGATCTATACATTTACATGAAGCAAACCCCGTGCAAGAACCCCTGAGATTGTTGGAGAAAAACGCAAAACTGCATAAAATAAGCTTGCCGAATTTAAGGACGTGCGTGACCACTAGGAGGACGTGCGTGACCACTAGGAGGACGTGCGTGACCACTAGGAGGACGTGTGTGACCACTAGAAGGACGTGCGTGACCACTAGGAGACATGTGTGACTACTAGGAGGACGTGCTTGGCCACTAGGGGAACGTGCGTGACCACTAGAAGGACGTGTGTGACCACTAGAAGAACGTGCGTGACCACTAGGAGACATGTGTGACCACTAGGAGGACGTGCTTGGCCACTAGGGGAACGTGCGTGACCACTAGAAGGACGTGTGTGACCACTAGGAGACATGTCTGACCACTAGGAGAACGTGCTTGGCCACTAGGGGAACGTGTGTGACCACTAGAAGGACGAGGGACCCAAGTTTTTGAAATGTGATATATCCCGCTGAGTTTCATCTTACCTTATCGTCAACCTCTCGGACTCTTCTCGCGCATTCGTCAAATGTGTCATCATCGACTGACTCATCGCCGATTAGTGCGCAAAAGTGTTTAGTTTCAAGATAGATCTCCCGGAGTAACTTTACTCCTGTTTGCTGCCCTGAAGCATCTCTGTTGATACGATGTCCAAAAATAGTATTGATATTTAGTGCCGTCTTAGTGAATAGATGCCATTCATTTTTTATCGGAGAGTTGGGGGAGGGGGGCATTATACTTGTTTCATTCAATATACCTGTTTTGCATTAGATACATACACCGCTTTTCTTGAAGACCACAGACGCATCTACACAGATTTAGCTTCGTTTATAAGTCAGCTATTGGTATTGTTCAACATGCTCATTCTTTACATTACAGTTGACTTTAGCAAATGATTTGCTCCTAAGCGAGGTTGAGCCTGTACTGATGAGTCTTCAGTCATAAAACACAGCGGGATTTATCAAATGAGAAATGGGACTATTAGTTGCGTGGTGTGCACTACTAATGCGATGTTTCTCGGCGCGCGCTGTGCTCAATCCCTCCACTATTTAGCGGGTTCAAACATAAAATGCATCTACCCATGATCCTTGTCGGTCTCAGCTTTGTAGCTTTCACAGGTGACTGACTGTCGAAATAAGTACATACATAAACATTTCCCCCAATACTTTTGAATTTCGTGTTCTCCAAGGTTCTGAGTAATTTTTGGGGTGAAAATCACGTGATAAACACGCAGTGGTCCTTGATATCAGCCTTAAAGTGCCGTGCTCGGGAAATTACTTGATATGCATATTGATCATGATAACGTTACGCTATTAATGTTTTTATTCAAGCAAATCGATCAATAAAATAGAATTATAAATAAACTATAAATCTTTCCGAAAATTTTTTAAAAAATTGTGTTCTTATTTTGCAATATTGCATTAAAGAATCTGTTATTATTAATTATTATTAAACGAATCTGCTTTAAGAATCTTCTCGATTGATTTGAATTAGTTGTTATATTTCTATTTTCTAAAGTACCACACGAATTTATAATCACAAAATATATCACATGAAAATATGGACAAATAAGAGTGTTTTGAGCTTCGTAAATTTGATAAAATCCATACTCTCAGCTGACAGTTTCAGGAATGGGAAGATTTTCATACTCTCTACTCGCCTTTTTTCCATTTTGAGCTCTTGTGTTACATTGTCTCGATGAAACAAGTATGGAGCTTCGTCTGTGATGACCAACAGCTGTGGAGTACAACTCTTTCTGTCTCTGCTCTCCATTGCTTAAATAATAGAATAAAAACATCATTTTATACCCACTAAACGTATCTTATTATTATAAACCTAATTGGAATTGGAAATAATCTGACAAATATTTTAATACGGAATGACCAATCAACCTGATCTGTACCATGGAACTCGTTTTCAGTTCAGAGCCAATATTTTTTCGTAGTATGAATAACTATTAAACTAACCGCTTTTGCGTAATTCCATTGGTATATCCGTTGATTTTGAGTACAGCCTTTGCGAACTACACAGCTATGAAAGTCGTAGCTTAATTCTTGTTCGAGAAGAAAACCACCCAAGCTGACACAGCAGAATAATAATCAATCCTACTAGAAGACTATACTAGCGTGACTTAAGGCAGACAGCTTTGTTGTCTGTCCGCCCTTTTGGCATTTTTCGGACAATTATCGTAGCCTAGCATCAGTAGATACAACTAAACAAAATCAGTTCAAGGGATCAGAAATGGAATTATTGTCGCAAATCGTTACAGGGTGAAGCAGAAGTACTCGAATGCTCTAGCGCACAACAGACTTTCAAGCACAATATCGTTTTTAACACCAATGGTAGACACTTTATGTTTTTTTGATCAAATTATACTCTAAAAAGTTCGGACTGTTGAAGTGCATTGCTTTATTGTCTTCGCCCAACTAGACTAATAGGCGTGAGCCTATTACACCAACATTAACGAATTTACATTCATAGAAACATTATTGGTTTTATCGATACATAATTTCGTTACTTCTATCGTTAAACGCTATTCACAGAGTCATTTGAATATTACCAAACTAATCGTTGTATAGTGCAAGCCACGAGTGCTGCGATCAAGTATGCATCTAATATATTAGTTTGTTTTAAGGACTACGTTCATGGGCAAAAGATCCCAATGATGAAAGAACATTATACTAGAAGTAAAATAAGCAAATGAAAAAGTGTGGTCCCAGACTTCGTTTAGCCGTCAGAATACGTGGAGGTTCATCCTCATTACGGCAAAACGCGCGAACAACGTAAACATGGAAAGCTGTCAAAGATAAGTCATATTTCACTGAAAAAATCTTATCGTCCCCATTTTTCACAGAAGACTAGAAAATAACCAAACAACTAGTTAGCATTTGAAATTTTTGTTAAAAATTCGAAATATAAAATGTTATTGTGCTATAAGTGTGGACTTGAAGCCTTCGTGTTACGTGAAATTATATTCCAATTATACACAAAATATGTAATTTCGATTTGATTCCATCGTCAGTTTTTTTTTTTTTTCATTTTTCCTCTAAAGTTAGGTATTACCGAGTACTTTCAAAAAACGAAATAAAAAAGGGGGGTGCGTGGACTTGAAATCCGGTCCAGTCCGAGGCTTTGGAGGCTTTGAAATAACTTCTCATGTTCATTAATTATTCGACTTGGAGTAGCTGGAACAAAATTGATTCAGTCCTAGGACTGAATTAATTTTGTTCTAGTTACTACAGAATCTTTTCTTAGTTTCCAGTAGCATCACGTGGTCCAAATACAACAATGGGATTGGCTCCTTTCCTCATGAATAAATAATGAGTATGAGAAGAGATTTTGCCTATCAAAACATTGGAATGACGTCATCACGATGATATGAAACTGCAGTTCTACATCAGGGGCCCCCGCGGCCCTGCGTCATTGCACCAGCCGTTGGAAAGCGATGACGTCACATTTATTTTGGAGCTCTTCATCCAGAGAATATTTTCTGAGTGTTTATCTAGCTATATGTTTTGATTCGCTTTAGTGCAATTTTCGATGCGATATGCAAATAGCGATTAAGTTTCATGCATCAAGAAATTCCATGACTTTTACTTTTTTTTCTTAGAAAAGGTTTTTTTCCCCCAATGAATTATTTGCATCCGATTCGAAGTTGAAGGGTAGCGCGCCGAGAAATCCCAGGGGAATCTTATTAGCTAGTACAAATATTGACTATACAGTACAAATAGTGCCTATGACACCTATCTCAAAATTTTCAGCATAGATTCTAAATGAAGAGAATATATTGTTGAATGGTAAAATATTATACACTTAATGTCTGGTCGCGAGGGAAAACAAAACTAATTTCCCGAGGGATCAGACATTTAGTGTTTTGTTATATAGCAATTAAGAAATATTGAGAAGTCAGCTTACGAAATAAGAACTTTATTTAGCAAGCTATATTCGGCATGAAAACTGATGATTTTACAAATACAACTCACATACGGTCTTGTATTTCTCTACCAAACAGCGAGGATAGTAGCAACAGCATTTTTAGTCGTTTTTTCGTATTTTCCGAATCCTTTTTCTCAATGAAAGTCTGTAATTTCTCTGTAGAAACACTGGAAAATCTGTTGTTTTGCTTCGAGCTCCATTTGTACTTTGTTGTTTGTATTTGGTGCAAAATGTCACGCCACCAGCGTTTTTCACGTTCTGATCACGTGCACTAGTTTATTTTCACTTGCAACTTATTTTCCGGCCTTATTTTCCGGTCGGGATACATTTAGATCGAGCTAGTGCCACGTGGTCATCTTTCAACCAATAAGAGTGTTCGTTATATTCGAAAATTTCGTAGCTATATAAAAATTTTATATGATTTGAGTGATGCATCTTGGAGATATCAAGGTTTATACCCCTTATAGTACACTCAACAAAATTACTCGACTCTGATTGGTCGAGAGGAGTACAATTATAGCGTTAATTGCATTCCGTAGGAGTACCGAATTAAGTCGCTATGGCAACAAGGCCAAAACAATGTCAAAACAATTTTTTTCTATCATTTTGTACGTTTTGTAAAGCCGTAAGAACTAATCTTTTTTATGCATTTCAGTTGCACGATGGACTGAAAATCAGCCGCCAAATAGACAAAGATGAACGGCGTCGCTTCGAATTTTTTACTGAAATTTTGTTGAGTGAACTATAACTCGAGATCGTGCGATTTCCTATACAAATATGTTAATGTTGTGACGTCAAAGGATTCAATCGAAGCACTAATTACTATGATAAATTTGTTTTGCTAGAACCTTAATATAAACCGTAAGACAATGATGTTTTATGCACCATATTTTACTGCCCCAGAAAAGTTTCGTATATTTAATGATGCCTCCTTTTACGTCTTTTATCTCGGCTCTTTCTTGGTGTTGCAGGGCATCTGAGCCATGAAGACAATAAAAAATAGCCGAGAACAAGGAGTTTGGAAGTAAACAATACCCTGCAATACAATAACCCTAACCCAGAATACAATACAGACTTTAACACCAAGAAAGACCCGATATCACCAGGACCACTCGAGTCATATAAAAACATTCTACCATTCAACCATTCATGATGAGTTAGGTGTCATAAGTTAAGTCAATATTTGTCAATACAAGAGACATTTCAGCAAATCACAGAGAGGTTTATTTTATGCAGCGTAAGCATAAAAATTTAGCTCAGTCTCAGCCTGAAACAGGAAACTGAAGCAATTTCAGTTCTATTATCAAGAAAACTGAGTAACTTTGGAATATAATGGAAGTGGACTGAAGTCCACTAACTGAGTTTTTTAGTGCGTGAAAGATGATTTAAAAAGGAATTTATCTTCATGAACACAACCACAACGAGTTAACTATGGAATGAAACGGTAAAGTAGAACAGTGTAACAATTATAATTGGTTATAAAAATAATATAGCATGAAATAAGAAGACCCAGTGAAATCACAACACGTATTCTCATACACAATTTTAAATTAAGATATCGATATTTGTCACTTCAGAAAATCAGTATAAAACTTTCAATATTTATAATTTATATACGTTTTTTTTATTCTTTATTTCCCATTCGATGATTGCCGCCGGCTGGGATGACACTCTATTATCAACGAAGTGATGTCTGGAAAATCCAGTGAATCGAAAGATATTCCATTGATAGTGGTATCTAGTCGCCTGCCTTACCAGATACCAGCAAGTCATGACACCCAAAGTAATAAAAAATTGACCAAAAGGTAAAATATGCAGATATTTTTCCCATTTCGAAAATGAAATTGAAAACGAAAGATGTTGTGAAAGGTTCATGGAAGGAAGTTAAAATGCAGAAGAATAATCCCAAAGCGTTCATGATAGGTTTCAACACGAGTCAACGAATTTGGCAAGCTTATAACTTTTGGCCGTTTTCAAAAGTGGATTTTTACTTAATGTGCTCAAACACGCTGAATTAACAAATTATATTTAAACAAAGAGTGTCAGACGCCAAACACCACTTGCGTGTAGCTGTGTTATTTTAAGTGCATATCAAGGGAAAAATATTATTTTCAAAATCACCTATACGTAAACATTGAAGTAGTATGGTTGCAGTATTTTTGTATGTGAACTTTTCTTTTCGGAGATATACACCGAATCGAAATATGGCGACCAATTTGAATAACTATTGTTCTGCACTGACTAGCGACTGACTAGCCTCGTGTTCACGTGGAAACATAAAAGCATTTTGACATGTATAGGAGGCTAGTCAGTCGCTAGTCAGTGCAGAACAATAGTCATTCAAATTGGTCGCCATATTTCGATTCGGTGTATAAACATTTGAAATGTCAAAATGCAAATGAGATGACGTAAATTCATGAATAGTGAAAAGTACTGCTGTATTTTTTTCACTCGCAAATCATCCTTTTACTGAAATACATCGAGGTTATTTCACTTCAGAACACTTGTCGTATAAATTACACTTCAGTGTAACACATTGTGGAATTTACGTCATTTTCAGTTTCATTACCATAATCTCTGAAAGGCGAAACAAACACACACGAAAAAGGCAGGTGCGTAAATAAAGTGATGGATATAAATCAAACTCTTGACTGGGAATTCCCCATAAATGTTTAGATATTACCGAGGGCTTTTGACTTTATCAGAAATTTTCTGAATAGCTAATAAACATTTTAAGCTTTTCATAGTATATTTAAAACAAGAAAAAAAGATCAAAAAGCTTTCACGACAATATTTATCCACATTATGACACTGAAGTACTTGGTAGGATATCGAAACAGATTTTGTCATAAGCCACTATCGATTACGAGGTTGAGGGAAAAACTAAGTCAAGTTGGCATTGTAGTGCATTGTGGACTGTTTTAGGGACGAAATAGACGCCTAAAACAGTCCCACAATGCACTGCGATACCAACTCGTACCAGTTTTTTTCTCAATGGCTAACAAAGCAAAAATGAACCTCTTTCTTTTGCGATTTTGACAGTGTTTCTGGGCTTGTCACAGCACTTGAAGGTCTATCAGAAGAGTCTTTATGGATAGGAGGAGTTATAAAAGATGACGTGGAAGAATTCAAAGAACATCTACCTGCAGGAGAAAACCAGAAAATTGTAATTAGCAATTCCGAGGCTGAGGAAATAACAGGGTTTAGTTGGCATTGAAGTACATTGCGGGAATATTCCAGGAGACATATTTTCAAGATGACGTCTATTTCTTAACCAAAAACCCACCTCCCCCTCCTAAAAAATAATGATTCCTTACGAGAAAATCCGAAAAGTATATTGCAAAACTTTTCTTGAAATTTTGGTTCACATTCTAGTTTTCTTTCAAATTTAGTCTCTCGCAGGAATTTTCGCTTGCCGCTTGATACTAATAAAACCAAAAGAATAGTATGCTTCGGCAATGAATGCACCACTGCGCATGCGCTTACTCACGCATCGATATATATAGTGCACTGAATGAACAACAAATATAGTATCGACGGGTATCGGTGGGCCGGATAAATCTAGGGGAAGGCCATTAAATTTCTGCTCAGTCAAAAAGCGGGTCATCAAATATATCATACAACACGAATTCTACAAATTTTAAGGGGAGGGTCACTTTATGATGCAGACAGAAGAAATTGGGGCTAAAAATGAATGGTTTAAAATACCGTAGTTTACGGACGGAAAAGTTAAATTGATAAACAAACAAATAAACAAGCAGGCAAAAATAGATATACAAGTTAATAAACACACAAAAATGAAAAATTAACCTACCAAACTATTGAACACTTACGTTTTCGATGTTTTTGGAACTTAGGAGCTACATCCCGTACCGATCGAATCGACAATATATAATAAACACAAGAAATGGTGCAATGTTATACTATGGTTTGTCTTTCATGGGATGATGCTGTCATATGTGAAGAAAATTGCTGATGAATGTCACGATTACTGGGAGGTTAGTCACGATGTTTTAGGATTTCTTTACCGTATTATATAAGGCACCATAATGCATAGCCTTTAGAACTCATTTATAATGAAACAATATAAGTATAGTTAATAGTCAGCACGGCTAACTCACAGATCAAACCCTGAAACAAACTCTGGGTGATCTAAGTCAGGGCATGGCTAACTCACAGATCAAAACCTGAAATAACCTCTGGGCTGATCTAAGTCAGGGCATGGCTAACTCACAGATAGAACCCTGAAACAACCTCTGGGTGATCTAAGTCAGGGCATGGCTAACTCACAGATCAAACCCTGAAACAAACTCTGGGTGATCTAAGTCAGGGCATGGCTAACTCACAGATCAAACCCTGAAATAACCTCTGGGCTGATCTAAGTCAGGGCATGGCTAACTCACAGATCAAACGCTGAAACAAACTCTGGGCTGATCTAAGTCAGGGCATGGCAAACTCACAGATCAAACGCTGAAACAACCTCTGGGCTGATCTAAGTCATGGCATGGCTAACTCACAGATCAAACCCTGAAATAACCTCTGGGCTGATCTAAATCAGGACACTGCAAACTCAGAGATCAAACTCTGAAACAACATCTGGGCTGATCTAAGTCAGGGGGCACGGCTAACTCACAGATCAAACCCTGAAACAACCTCTGGGCTGATCTAAATCATGATATCCTTCAAAGTACTGATTTTTTTAATGGTGCTTTTAGAGTTACAAAAAAGTAAATCAAGTGTATGCCGAATCAATCAAAGAACAGTTGTCAAAACAAGTTAAGAACGCAATAGTTTGGATTCATGATTATCACCTTTTCCTTGTCCCCAATTTGCTAAAACAGGTAATTAGGGGTAATTAGGGCGGTAGACGGGGAAGTAGACACTCTTGCAACTTGCGTCGCAACGCTCTTGCGAGACAAGTTGCAAAGAAAATTGCTTCGTGTAATGGCACCTTACAGCTGCAGAAGATCTAAATTTTATATTTGCACATGAGGTGAATACATCGGGCGCAGGAAACAACTTAAAATGTGCATAATAGCACTGAAAAGTTACTCACATGGGTTCCACTGTTTCTCAGCTTATGAACGCAGGCTCAAATCCAAAGGATACCGTCTAAGTCGAGAGCTTGCTAATATTTACGTTGTATCTTGTTTTTAAGCTGCTAGCAGAAAAACCTCTAAAGATACGTTATAGAATTGGTTTTTTTCTGCATATTCCTTTTCCGCCCGTAGAGACGTTTGAACAGATTCCCAACTACCAGGAGATTTTGGACGGCATGCTAGGTTAGTGGAAACCCTAATACTACCAGGTGATCTCGCCTCGAAGCGCGCAAAGAATTGCTTGTCAAAGCGAACAGTTCCTAATACCCAGTCTCCTATTTCATAATATCTCACGGTAATCAAAATGGCGGCTCGTTTCATCGCCGAGTTTGCTTACTTTTATTGCATTTATGCTTTGTTTTCTTTAATTTTTATTGTTGATAGGGCAAGAGGGAGCTTTTGTGGTCCATGTAAAATAGAATTTTTTCAATGTAAAGTTATATTTCAGGACGTATTTGAAAAGGTTATCACGAAATAAGACTCCATTTTGAAATTCATCAAGGAACTTTTGGCGATGCAACAAAGATGCTTCTGATTGGTTAATAGTAACCGGAAGTGCGTGCGCGAGATCACCTGGTATATATTTAACAAAAGATTCTCACTATTTCACGTTGTTTGCACTATGTGCCTGTCATGCACGATAGATATATTTACGAATCACTACAAACCAACAAACTTGTCCAACCATATCGACCATATTAAAGTGCTTATAAGCCTTTACACAATATTTTCAGAAT